TGTACAACAAGACCACTTGTAAGATGCCTGTTGTCTGCCGAACCTCCTCTTTTAGGCCACTCAGCACCAGGCTCCAAGGGTGCAGCCCTATTCATGCTGACCTCCTTTCTAGTCTTTGGGCAAGCTGAGCTCTTTCTTCCTTCAAGGCTTTGCAGTAACTGCTTCCTCTATCTGGAATGTTCTCCTCAGAATCTTTCAAACTGTGTTTTCCTGTTTGTAATTCAGATCATGGTCCAAATATAATCTCTGAAGACAGAATTTTCATGATTATTTTATCCAGAGGGGACAACTCTTCAATTATTCACTCACCCTATTTTTTTTCCATCATATCCATAATCATAATCCAATCATAAAGTTGACTTACTGAATATTTGCTTCATGTTTTTTTTACTGACTCTCCTCTCCTATTGGCTATCAGTGCCATGAGGATAAGGGCCTGATAGATATAGCTTATTGTCAGACCCCAGGTCCTAGAATTATTTCTAGCTCACAATAGGTTCTCAATAGCATTTAAGTTACAAATATAGACCACTGAATATTCAATATGAACCTCTGAGGAAAGATATGGGTTGGAGGTAATGATTTGGGAATTACTACAGAATATAAATCTTAATAATCAGGGAATATAAGGGAACTTCCTTAATCTATTAATAAGATCTACAAACAAATCTATAGCATGAAACTGAATAGTGAAACCTCAAAACAGTCACTTTAAGAATGGAACAGGACAGGGCCCTCCCTGGTGGTGCAATGGGTTGAAGCACAGTACTATGAAAATATCTGCAGCCACTATAGCATTTCAATCCCCACCAGGGAGGTGACCTACATGAAGTGACAGACCTCTCCTGTCTCATCTGTTGCTTCCCTCAGCAGTGTATTTCTTTTTTCTTTCTTTCTTTTTTTTTTTTTTTTAAAGATTTATTTATTTATTCATACAGAACTGGGGTATAGGCCAGAGATGTGGAGGGTGAGAGGATTCACCAGAGACAGAGTGGGGAGCAGAACAGGCAGATCGATGAAGTACACTACTGAGGGGAGCAGCAGGCGGGTCAGGAGAGGTCTGCCACGCCATGTGGTCACCTCCGGGGCAGGCGGGAATCGAATTCATGCGGAAGTGGCTTAAGCTTCTCAGTGCTGTGCTTTAACTCCCTGCGCCACTAGGGAAGGGCCCTCAGCAGTGTATTTCAGTCAATCTGCCTGTTCTGTTCCCTAATCTGTCTCTAGTGAATCTTCTACCCCTTGCATTTCTAGCTTATATCTCAGTTCTTATAGGTATAAGTAAATAAATCTCTTTAAAAAAAAAGAATAGGACAAGACAATGATACCCACTACACCCTTTTCTATGCAATTAGCTAGCATAATGAGGCAAAAGGAAAAAAGAAAAACCCACAACATTTTGAAAGAAATAAATAAGTGCTAATATTTGGATATGTATTATTTATGTAGAAAATCTAAATAATTTATAGATAATTAATTGAGAGTTGGCAGCAGAACAGGCGATTTACTGAAATACACTACTGAGAGGAGCAGTAGCTGAGTCAGAAGTGGCTGCGCCATGTGGGTTAGTTCCTTGACCAGGGATCAAACTCATGCAGCAGTGACTGGCCATAACTTGATAACACTGAGACTTTAGTCCTTGTGCCAGCAGAGAGCCCCAACAGATAATTTAGAGTTTAGTGAGGTTTTCAGACAAACATACAAAAATCAGTTTTTAAAAAATATTTTTTATTTAGAAGCAAAATACAGACTGTGATTACTTTAGGCTATCTCTACATGTAAATGAAGACAACCACTGTATCACCACCAAAATCACTGTGAGTATAATAAAGTAAAAAAAAAGAAAAGAAAACACCCTATAACCATACAAATACATAAAAATTCTAGGACTATCCAATAAGAAATAACATAGGTTACCTACAATAGAATAAGAGTCTACTTTTATTGACTCTTATGTTAGTGGACCAAAGGGCCAATGCTTTCATATTTTTGAATGAAAAGTATTTGGTTTCATTATTTATTTAAAGATTTTATTTTATTTATGCTTCAAGAGCTGGGGCGTAAGACAGAGGTTGGGGGAAAGGTGAGAGGATTCACCAGAGACAGAGTGGGGAGAGAACAGGCAAACCTACTGAAATATACTACTGAGGGGGAGCAGTGGGCAAGATAGGAGAGGTGTGTTGCACCATGTAGGTTGGCTCCCTGGCTGGGGATTGAACTTGTGCTGCAGTGGCTGCAGATAGCTTTACTGTGCTGAGACTTAATCCCTTGAACCACCAGGAAGGCCCAAAAGTATTTGATTTTAAACAAAATTCTATACCCAGCTAGACTGGCATTAAATTATAGATGTTTAAAACACAGGCATATTGGGGCCTCCCTGGTGGCACAAGGCATTAAGTCTCTGCACAATGAAACTATCCATAGCCACTGCAATACAAGTTCAACCCCATGCCAGGGAGCTGACTCACATGGCGCAGCAGACCTCTCTTGTCTTGCTCACTGCTTCCCTCAACAGTGTATTTCAGTAGATTTGCCTGTTCTTCTCCCCACTCAGTCTCTGGTGAATCTTTTCATCCTCCCCTCAACTTCTAGCCTGTTACCCCAGCTCTTGTATGCATAAATAAATAAATCTTTAAAAAATATGGCATAGTCAGACATAAGAGCTTAGAAAATTTGCCTCATATATAATTATCTGCTGATATGCTCCTGCAAAAGGAGAGGAAAGGAGAGAATTATGTATCCTTCAGATTCCAGGTACATCCAAGGAGGTTATATACACTTGAGATCTTGATGGAAACCCAGGAGAACAACTAAGGTGAGTCCTAGGAAAAATTCTATGAAGCAAGCATAGCTCAAAGTAAGCAGCCAACCAAAAAAGGGAAATATAGAGGCTTCAAGGAGGAAATTTCTGAGAAAAAGGCCTTGATAGTAAAACTGGTACAATAGCACTGGAGTAGGATGGGGGTTTTGATTATAATCAAAATGTTGCAAGGGAAAAAATGTATAGTTAGAGACTCTAGACTCCCCCCCCCAAAAAAAAAATCTGTGTAAGGAATATAATTAGACTCCATTAAAATATTTAACTTTCCGGCCCTCCCTGGTGGCGCAGCGGGTTAAAGCACAGCACTAAGAAGCTGAGGCCGCTGCCGCATGAGTTTGATCCCCGCCTGCCCCGGAGGTGACCACATGGCGTGGCAGACCTCTCCTGGCCCGCCCGCTGCTCCCCTCAGCAGTGTACTTTGTCGATCTGCCTGTTCTGCTCCCTGTTCTGTCTCTGGTGAATCCTATCACCCTCCGCATCTCTGGCCTGTACCCCAGTTCTGTATGAATAAATAAATAAATCTTTAAAAAAAAAAAATATTTAACTTTCCTATTCAACATTTATAAAGTCACAAATGTGTAAAAGCAATTTACTGATATAACTAAATACAGTTTAATGATATGTGGAGAATAAGCATGGAAAGTATTATAAGAGTTAAGTCTTTATAAGTTATAGCAAAAATAAGTATGTGAAATCTAAAATGGATACATCAAGAGCATTTTAGGTATTTAGTTTAGAATATATGGAGGTGACTGCTGGAAGCAGTTGCTAAACAATTAAGAGATTGCCTATGGAAAATACTGAAGAAAAGAGAAGGGGCTGACAAAGCATCTTTCTTTTTTGACTTAAGCCTTAATGTATAGATTGCAAACAATTTGTTTATACTACATTGAGTTTTAAAAATTTTAAAAAGAAATGTTTTTGCTCTAGAAAGGAGGTGTGTTGTCAGAAATGGTCTTTTATGGTGAAACTAAGGAAACCTCAAAGCCCTTGGGAGGGCTAGAACAAGTTCTAGGTGGGAGAGGAAATTATCTTACAACCATGCAGCATTTATGACAACTTGGTTAAAGTCTCAGAAGAGTTAACTTTTCCACCTACAGTTTTTCATGATTTTCTTATCCTAAATAAAGTAATTTTTGAGCTTTATTCTAAAAATTTTATTTAATCTTTAACTAGAGCTCTTCAAGTTGGGTAAACATTAGGCTTCAACAAAACCTGGGTTAGCCCTTAAGGATTGTGATCACAAAGAAGCGGACCTCAATTAAGGACCGTTTTCATCCTAGTTTTTATTAAAAAATAAGCAAACAAACAAAAAAGTATTGGAACCTTATACTACTCTGGCCGTATATTTTACCTGCTGCTCATAGACACTATATGAAGCCTTAGGAAGGTAGGAACAGAGCAGTGCTTCCCTACATCTTAAAGAGTCTTTTTACAAAGTCTATATAGGTTTAGTACTTGTAGAAGGAACAGATAAATTTGTAATACCATTAGGTATGACTCTTTCTTCTGCCACATCTCAATTTTATTGAGACTCTTGTCATGCAAGGCAGAAGGCTGGGGGAATAATAGAGAAAGTAGAGTGGAGTAAGGTTGCTTTTTCCAAACCTCAGACCTCCCATTATGACTTTACATAGTTCTTGCTTTTTTGGACGACATTTTGAATTTATGGCCTTACCCACTATTATCGATGTTTAAAGGTTCTGTGCTATGAGCTACGGGACGTTTTCCTTATTTTAAGGATCTTTTTTGTGCATTCCTCCTGTAAACTGAATTGTTGCACATTATTAAGCCTTATTTGGGGAGTTTGCTTAATATGGGGCACACCCCATTACTAAATTCAGCATTAACAATGACTAATTCGCACACCATGTGTGGAGTGTTACATGGCAGCTGGGTGTTCGCCAACAACTAGACATCTACTACTTTTGGCCCCATTCTCCGAGACCACCTGCTTCAACGCGGAGGCGGCGTCTTGACCCTCCGCGACCTCTTTGTCATGGCGTCTGCGAGGCGTCTACCAGCTGAGGCCTTGGCAATCAGCCAGACGTCGACCTTCCCAAGATGGCGGCGACCCGGGGGGGGGGAAATGCGCGTAGGGGGCGGGGTTCCGCCGCCAGGGGCGGGGCGGAGAGGCTTAGGGTCGGGCTGGCGCTTCCGAAGTAGGCAGCCCCAGCGCGCCTGCGCGGAGCGGCCCTGCGTGCAGTGAGGCTGTGGCGAGGGAAGGCACCGGTGGGGCCGACGGGCGGGTTGAAGGAGGGAAGCGGGTGAGCGAAGTCCCAGTGCGCGCCGCGGCGGCCGGGGTACCCTCCCCTTCCGGGCGTGAGGTGCTGTGAGAAGAGCCGAGTCGAGCGAACTCGCACCGGCAGCGAGGCGCCGCTACCGCCGCCCCAGCCCGGCCTCCCTCGGCGCTCCCGTCGTGGGGGCCCGGCTTCCTCAGCACACCCAGCTCCAGCAGCCCCCAGAGCTTGTCCCCAGCTCTTCGGAAGCCCCGGCGTCAGCCCGGGCCCTTGGCGGGGAGGATGACGGAGCTGCAGTCGGCGCTGCTACTGCGAAGACAGCTGGCAGGTGAGCGGGCGGGCGGCGGGGCGCCGGGCCGGGCCGCGGTGGCGGCGAGCCGCTGCCCGCTACTCCTCCCCTGCTCTCGGGCCCTGAGGGCCGGCGGCCGAGGGGGAGCGGCGGCCGCGGCGAGACTGGGTGCGGACCTGCGCGGGTGGAGAGACCGAAGCGCCGGTCCGGGCCGGGCCCAGCACTTCTGCCCCGGCTTTCAGAGGATATTGGGGGCGGTGACGCGCCCCAGCTTCGGCTCTCGGACGTGGCCTGGCGCCCAGGGGGAGGGGGGCCGCCCCCTCCCCCACTAGCCGGTGGGACGTTGCGGGGGAGGGGCCGTGAGCTTCCGACCCGGGCCGACCCTCCTGGAGGGGCGGGTCCCGGGCTCAGGTGCGGCCGGCGCCGCCGGACCTCGGGGGCAGGAAGGAGCGCCACGGCCCGGCCGGCTCCGGGTCCCCTGCTCGGGTGTGAGCCGCGCCGGGCAGCGGCCGGCGACAGTGGGCTACAGGAACTGGCCCCTGGCCGGATAGGTGAGGCGCGCAAAACTTCTTCCCGGGCAGCGTCGGGTCCGCGGACTTGCGGCGGACAACAAAAGCGCCGGCCTCCGCGGTCTCGGCGCGGGCGCGCGGGAGCTGAGAACCCGGCGGGGTGCGGGACGCAGCCTCGCCTGCCTCCGCCTGGCACGGGCTCCGGCAGCGCCGCCCGGCTGGGGGAGGGTAGGAGCGGGCAGCCCGGACAGCCTCTCGCTGGCCGGCGCGGGGCTTTGTGCTCGGAGCGATTCCGGCTCTTGCGCAGGCCCGTGGAACCCCGGGGCTGCGACCCTCCGGCTCTGACTTGGAGCGGCGGCTGGTCTGCTCCCCAGAGGTGCCTCCGTTCCCCCTCCCCCATTGTCCCGGCCTCCGGCCGTTTGCGGCTTCCAGGTTGACTTTTTAGGGGGTTGGCTCCTACTCTGCTAGGACTGTGCGCGCGGAGCATGCGCACTGGAGACGTACGTGTGCGGAGTGTAAGGGGGGGGCGGGTTGGTGGCTTCACAATGCCGCCCCACGTGCTGCCAGATTTAAAGAGAAATGAACCAGCATTTACCCCTGCTGTCCAACGCCCAGCGTGTGTCCCTCTCAGTTCTGGCGAGCTTTACCGCCCCATTCCGCAGCCGCCAGCCCTTAGCCCTCGGCAGAAGGCTAAGACTGGAATGAAGAGATCTATTTTTGAAACAGATACACTGAGTGTTTGAGGTGTTTGTTAAAATCACCTTTATGGCTTCTTAAGGAAAGGGTTGTCAGGGCTGTTACAGATTGTATAATTAGGTTTATTATTAGACCATGAGCAAGCAAGTTTGGACTCGTATTAAAGTTCTAGATGCTCAGGGGGAGTAACTTGGAAGTGAATAAAGGAGTTCTGGTGATGCCTGTAGCCATCGCGAATAAAGTACCCTGTTGGAAAAACAGTGAAAGAATGGCCAGCTAGTGCATCTTATACTTTCGAACACTCCTTAATTTTCTGGTTTGTGTTATTTTGGAGGAGGAAATTTAGATGTCCGGTTGTCTCCCTAAAATTCTTTAATCAGAGCAAACGCATGGTGAACCAGTAAACAGTATTAAAACATTACACGGTACTCAGTTCTTACATAATGGGAAAGATACATACTTTTTAATGTATAAAAAGTTATGCAGTTTCTAAGAAAGTATGATTTAAGAAAGTATGACATTGACAATATTTCAGAACTATTTTCTACCCATTGTGAACCATCTGGAGATTTTGATGGTCACTCCATTCAGTTCATTTTAGTTTGTGTTGTTTTGGATGAAGAAATTAAGATGTCCTGTTGTCTCCCTAAAAATTCTTTAATCAGAGTTAACTTATGTGGTGAACCATTGTGCTATTTTTTTTTTTTACAAGATTGACCCAAAATATTTACAAAACATTTCCCAAGAGTTTTTATGAGGCTTGGCTTCTTGACTGCGCTTTAAGGTTGGAGGAGTGATTTAATTTGTAATTTTTCAGACCTCATTATAAAGTTACTAACTACTGTTTAATTTTTCTTGCCTCTTGGTCAGAAATAATGGTCCGTTCTTAACATTTTTAATGTTTTGAAGGATTCTAGTTAGTATACTCAGTGAGCAAAATAGTAGGCACAGGCAGTGAATATATTAAGTGAAATGTGAAAATACTAAGTTTATTGGAAAAACGTGACAACTACATGTTAAAAGTCCTGTTGAATTTTAGTGGCACATTGTTTAAGCTTTGTGGTTTTTCAGATACATTTGAAAACAGGAAAGAATGGTAAATTATCTCTTGAAATTATTTAGAGTAACTTTTGAAAGACTTAATACTTGTTTTAAACATCTTGAAACGTTTTGAATAGAGTAGGTACACAAGCCTGTAGTTTTTCTAGCTATTACAATTTCCTGAAACTAACAACAGTGACCCAACAATTGTTACATTTATTGACCCTCAAGGATTTTACTTCATCACTCCAGGATATAATTTATTGAGTTTTTTGTTGTTGTTGTTACTGTAATGGAGAACCTGGTTACTTTCAGAGTTGGTTCCTTGGATTGCAGTATTTCTCCACATCTGCACTGCTGACGTTTTGGATTGATTATTGCAGGGGCCTATACTGTGGCACTATGAAATATTTATTGGCATCTTGGCCTCAGCCTACCACATGCCAGTTGTATACCCCCTCAATTTTGACAACCAAAAATGTCTCCTTTGTCAAATTTCCCTGAGCGTGAAATCATTTTAGAGTTGAAACATCACTGGTTTAAGATGTAGTTAAGACCATTGTGAAATAGGAACACCTAACATTCATGAAATGGTTGTGTTTCTTTGTGGATATTATTAGGCTATGACTTATTCCTTTACACATTCAACAGTGGCAATTCAGCTTTTGCAGTGCATTATGCTAAACACTGAGATTTCCCACAGCACAAAAGATTTAATTCCCCCCCCCCACCCAAACAGTATTACAAGCACTGGTTAAAAATATGAGTACCAAAACCCTAAGTTCTATTCTTGGAAGCAGCCATCATTGACAATTTCTTGTGTTTTTTCAAAAGATGCTTGCATATATGTGCTTATATGTATATATGTATGCATGTTTACTGAGGAATAACATGCGCCCAGCACTATGCTAAGTACTTTACATAGCACTATGCTAGTATCTTATTTGATCCTCCCAATAAGAAAATGGAGGCTTAGAGAGGTTAAGTAACTTGCCTAAGGTCACATCGGTAGTAAGTGGTGGTGTTAGATTAAAATTCAGTATCACCTTCTTTCAGAGACTTTGTTGTTTTCAGCTGTCTAATTGCCTATAAAGCCTCTTTGAAAAATAATTAACATACTCATGAAATAGGCTCCTATAAATTTAAATATCCAAAGTTAATTTATCTAGTAACTGTCAAAATGTTTGGGAAAACAATAGCACTTATTGTACAAAGTGTGTATTAAGATCAGGAGCTAACCCACATATGGCACAGCAGACCTTTCCTGTTCTGCCCGCTGTTCCCCTCAGCAGTCAATCAGTCCACCTGTTTTGGTCCCCAGGTCTCTGCTGAATCCTCTTCACCCCCTGCACCTCTGGCCTGTACCCCAATTCACGTATGCAGAAATAAGTAAAAATTTTAAAAAAGAAATCTAAGAGGTATTCTTGAGGTAATCATAGAGGTATTTTAACTATTGTTAACTTAAGCACAATATTCTTCAGAATCAAGGAAAATATCTGCATTGAATGTAATAGGCTAACGAGAGTGCTAAACTTTTTGCTGTTGACAGTTAACTTGGAGAAAGATTTGGACTAATGTGACTTTCATACTATAAGAACAGTAGATTTTACTGTCTGACAAGCATTTTTTTTAAAGTTTTATTTATTTATGCCTACAGCACTGGGGTATAGGCCAGAGGTGTGGTGGGTGAGAGAATTCACCAGACACAGATTGAAGAACAGAACAGGCAGATGGACCATGTACACTGCTGAGAGGAGCAGCGGATGACACTGGAGAGGTCTCAGCGGGTGACACTGGAGAGGTCTGCTGTGCCATGTGGGTCAGCTCTTTGGCCAGGTATTAAACTCTGTGCTGCATAGCTGCAGTCAGCTTCATAGTGCTGCACTTTTACCGCATTGTGCTACCAGGGAGGGCCCCTATTTGACAAGCATTTTGATAAGGAGAAAGAACAACTTTGTTATTAAAAATTTTTTTTTTGAAGTAATATTTTACAGCACTGGATGTGGGTCAGAGGTATATAGCGCCACTCCAGTCCCAACACCAAGGCACTTGCAGGCCTCCACCAAGTCCATTGGTTCCCTTCCACACATTACTGTACCCTCCCCACTCTGGTAGCCTTAATTTTATCACCAACAGATTTCTAGAATTTGTTACTGATTAGTTTTTGACTAACCTGTTTCAAACCATGCAGGATTTGTCTTTCTCCTACCAGGTTTTATTTCACTTAGCATGATCCCTTCCAGTTCCAGTTATACAGAAGTTATGTTATCAGAGAAGAATAAATAATACATTGGGAAGTTTGCTGCTTTTTAAAAATGACGAGTTTTTGTTTTGTTTTTAGCATTGATACCATAGACTTCAGTAGGAAGCTGTTTTCAGAAGAATCCGAATGTGTAATAATAATAAGATAATTGAGTTTGAGACATTTTGATTGTCTATCTTAGAGTAATATTGAAATTTCCTAAATCTTTGTCTTCTTGGCTACTTATAAGCAGGTTGATGTGTTTAACAGATTTTATGTGATATGGAACCACTTGAGTGAGTTAGTCCTGGCCTTACTCTTCCAAAATCTTCGCCTATATGTCTTCATGTGGCCCAGGAAAACAGTACTTTGGTTAGCTGGGGTTCAGAATCATATTAGAGTAGATGCCCAGAATCATATTAGAGTAGATGCCCAAAAACTACTGCTTTTTTCCCCTTTGAAGGACCATTTTACCTAAAATGGAAGCCTAGTACCTAGTTTTTGTGAAGTGATGTATTGCCTTACCAGCCCTGGTATCTTGAAGGAAGGTG